GTAGTCCCCAGATGGAGATGTCTGCTTGTATCTTTTTTAACTGTTTCAGCACAGCTTCCTCTTCAATCTGCTTCTCCTTCTGTCTTTCTGCTTCTCTGTCCTTCCCGGATGCCTCGGGTTGGTCCAGGTGTGGGGTTTTGAAGTACCGCCCACTTCTTGTCATATGGTCAACCTCATCGAGGTACCAAGTATCATCCGGCTGGTTATTCCCCCAGTCTTCATCGGTGTGGGCAAGACACAAATCGTCATCTTCCCACCACATTCCACTGGCAGCCAACAGACACCTGTCTGGCTCCGGTCCGCCCGCACTCTCAGTGTTCTCTGTCCACATGCTCGCAGTATTGTTTGTCTTCGTGCACACGACACTTATAGTCCCCTCAGGGCCCTTTGCCTTTCTGGCTCTCTCAGTAGCCTCAGATTTTTCTTGTTCCAACTGTGTCAGTGCAGTTGTTTGCTCAACAGTTCCCATGTCCATAATGCTCGTGTCCCGAGCGGAATTCTCAACACCGACGCTCTCCGGCGGTACAACTTGATTTTCGGCCGTTCTGGCCATAACCGATATTTCTGCCCCTGCCGGGCTCTGTTCTGATTGGGCTTCCCCCACTGCGTCCGGTTGATCTTCGAGCCATCCCGTGGCCTCCTCTGATCCTTCATAATCATACCAGTTAATCGACGCTTCCCCCAGTTCCTGGTCGTCGAGAAATTGCAGGTTAGCCAAGTCTTCTTCGACGGCTGTCAGCTCATTTCTCCATAGCCCAGATCCATCCCCCCGGATCATGCATAGTTCTCCTGTCTCTAGCAATTCTACACTTAGCCCAATTCGGCTCGTTGATAGGATGTACTTTCTTGGATCATAGACTCCCTCAGCAAAATTTTGCCCAGTTTCAGATTCAAAAATCTCATTTCCTCCCAAAATCTGCCCTGCTCCGTCTTCGACGGTCACCACCACCGGTTCTGGTTGAGTTTTAGAGATGTCCACCATGCACGAGAAATCAGTGCAATCGGGGAGGAACACCTCCGGCTTGGGTAGGTGGGTGGGAGTAATATAGATGCTAGGATCGTAAGACGCGACCCAGTCTGGATAAAGTTAATTCTGTTGGGAGGAGGGGCTTGGTTATGTGGTGGGAGAGGGTTGGTTGTAACATTGGGTTTATCAGGAGGCGCGATCACCTGTTTGTCAATAAGATCTTGGATCTCATGACGCAATCTATAACAGCGGTCGGTGTCATGACCGTGTTGTTGGTGATATGCGCAGTACTTTGACGAGTCATAAGAGGGGGGAAGTGGATTCGGTAATGGCTTTGGCTCCAGGGGTTTTAAATGATTTTTCCTGATCAATATTCCCAGAACCTTGGTCAGAGGCATATATAGTGGAGTAAAGGTTCTTTGGCCTCGTGGTTGGAATCGGTTGTTTTGTGTGTTGCTTCCGGAC